GTGGAGGGGATCTGGAGATGTGGAGGGGATCTGGAGGATGTGGAGGGGATCTGGAGATGTGGAGGGGATCTGGAGGACGTGAAGGGGATCTGGAGATGTGGAGGGGATCTGGAGGACGTGGAGGGGATCTGGAGATGTGGAGGGGATCTGGAGGACGTGGAGGGGATCTGGAGGACATGGAGGGGATCCAGAGGACGCAGAGGGTTCCAGGAAGGACGTGGTGGGGACGTGGGGGTATGGCTGAGGGCCAGGGGATGCGGAGGAGACGCGGTGGCACTTGGTGACACAACGGGGACTTGGGTGTTTGGGCACAGGGACAAAGTGGGGGGGGGGGGGGGCGGGGGGGCTTCAAAAGGCCGTGGTGGAGAGACTGTGGGGCTGGATGTGGGGCTGGGCTGGAGGATCATGGCGGAGGTCATGGGATGTGCTGGAGACCCAGGAGACCGTGGTGGAGCTGGGGGGACACATCAGGGTGCTTGGAGAGGAGCAGAAATCACAGAGGGGAAACTTTGGGGGGAGCATGAAAATCCCAAATGGGCCACAAGATAAAGGGACCGGGAGGCCCATCAGGATGGTGGTGGGGACAAGGGGACGCTGGAGGGTCCTCAGAGAATCCTCTGTGATGATCCTGGGGGGGGGGGGGGGGCCATCACAGCCACCTCGATGTCCCCTTTGGCTTATAGGATGCAGTGAAGATCATGGCGAAGGACCTGGTGAGGACGCGGCGCTACGTGAAAAAGTTCATCACCATGAGGGCCAACGTCCAGGCCGTGTCCCTCAAAATCCAGACCCTCAAATCCAACAACTCCATGGCCCAGGCCATGAAAGGGGTCACCAAAGCCATGGCCACCATGAACCGGCAGGTGGGTGCCCGTGGATCCTGCCCTCCCCAAGGCTGGGGTCGCCAAGAGCTGCCCTGGCGTGGCGGTGGGGGTGGCTTTGACACCACGACGTTATGGGGAACGTTTTGTAGACTTGCTGACTGATCTGGGGGCCTGGGGATGGCCCCAAAGCTGGGGGGCCACCGTAAGGTGCTGCATGGAGTTGTCCCCGAGGCCGTGGCCGTCGTCACCAGTCCCCTGGTTTGGTGGTGGGGGTGTTTTGGAGAGCTTGGTTGCCCCATGAGGCGCCCCTGGCTCGGCCTTGAGGGGCATCCCCAAGGCCTCACCAAAAGTTGCTTTGGAGATATGAGGGTTGTCCCTAAGATGGTGGCCGCCAGAAGCCGCTCAGAGCATCCGTGCAAGGATGCACAGGCTGCTGTGGGAACGTCCTGCGTCCCTGTGTCCCCACGTCCTGCGTCCCTGTGTCCCCACAGCTGAAGCTGCCACAGATCCAGAAGATCATGATGGAGTTTGAGAAGCAGGCGGAGATCATGGACATGAAGGAGGAGCTGATGAACGACGCCATCGATGACGCCATGGGGGCTGAGGACGACGAGGAGGAGAGGTGGGAGATGTGGGGGGTGGGGGAGGCGTGGGGGCTTGAAGGGACGTGAGGACACAAGGAGGAGGGGGAAGAGGAGGATGTGGGGCAGGGTGGTGGTGAGATGTAGGACGTGGTCATCGGGTGAGTGGGGTGCGGTGGGACGGGGATTTTGGGGGCACACGGGGCAGGGGCACGGTGGGAGATGGATTTGTAGGGCAGGGAGAGGTGGGGCATAAAAAACCATGGGAAGGAAAAACACGGGGCAGAGGCGTGGAGGACACGGGGGGTTGAGAACGTGGGGAGAAGGGAACGTGGTGTGTTGGGGAAATAGGGGACAGCCCATAAAGGGACGGCAGGGTTATGGGACGGGGATGGGGGCATGTGGGTTGAAGATGGGGGGATGTGGTGGGGACACAAGAGGAGGTGGTGGAGGAAGGACATGGGGATATGGGGGGGTCATGGGGGTGGTTTTGGGGTCATGGGGCTGGTTTTGGGGTCATGGGG